CCTCAGAATTCTGACTTTTTCCTCAGAATTCTGACTTTAGTCTCAGAATTCTGGCTTTAATCTCAGAATTGTGGATCTTAATGTAGATGGTCTCCATGAAGGCAGAGATGTGCAGCACTCAGCTTCAGTTCTTTGGGAGGAACAGGAACACATTGGTGGAAAATGATGGAATTAGGAGACTTTTTCCGTCCCTGATGCTTCCTGCTGATGCTGTTTGATCAATGGAAGAGAAGAAGGTGATTAAAACAAGAGAGATAGTCTCTAAAACAGACATGGCTACGGCTGGATGCTAACATGATTGTTATCTGTCAGAATTCAGTTGGAGTTCTGAGATTAAAGTCAGAATTCTGCCCTTTTCTGACTTTTTTCCCTTAATAAACTGAATATTTAAAAATCAGTTAACTTTTTTTATTTTTCAGTGGCCCTAATCCTCTTTCATATACCTCCGAAAATGGAGCGAAAAACTTGTAAGGGACTGGCTGATATTCAGCAGGTCAAAAAAGGCAATATTTTGCCAGCCATTCTTGCTGTTCTCTTATGAAGTAGAGAAAATATCACTAGGGCACTAAATTCAATAAACGGGATGAAAATATCCAACATAAAATACAGGAAGCTTTATGAACGTTTTCCAAACTGAACAGAAAACCTAGTTATTGGAAATGGAAGAACCTGCTTGGTATTTTCCTCTCTGAGGTGAGCAGGCTGTCAGTGAACAGACTGTTGATCCAGGCCCTAACAAAGCTGTCAGCCGGCCTGCTTGGTTCTGGTTCCAGAGGGAACAGAAAAAACTGTAGGTCCACCATCAATGGTAGGAATGAAATCCAGTTGTGAGAAAACGCTGACAGAGTGTTTGGTTTCAGAGGAGGAAAAAGCAGAAGGAGAAGCCGGCCGCTGGCGCTGGACCAGAGGAAGAGGTTCTGACCGAGCCTGCAGCCGCCGACCGAGAGGATCTGGGTTCAGCAGCAGCGAGGAAGAGGAGGAGGAAGAAGCAGCCTCCTAAAGCCCAGGCTTCAGTGGAAACCCAGAAGGTGAGGCGCTGTTCTCTCTGATGGTTCTGGACCAATGAGGTCTGCAGGTGGTCTGATCCAGCAGAACCATCAGTGAGCTCAACCAGTTTTCCTCAGGATCGCCCTCCTCTGCAGCGCGTCTGATGAAACAGAAGCCGTCCTCTGGTTCTGGCTACCCTGGAACAATGGCGGCTATATTAGCTGTGATCAGCGGGTAAAAAGTAGTTAGAATCTATGTTGAAGTGAGAAAGTCCTCCTGAAAACATGGTCTGTGCAGTCAGTTCATCTAGATCACCGTAGAGTTCATTTAGGCGTTAATAAACGGTTTCAGAGGAGTGATCATAGCGCTCTGCATCAGCAGTGCTGCGTCTGACTCCCTGCCAGCTCCCAGATCAGCTCATCTGATTGGTTGATCAGTTTTTCCAACTCCAGTATCTGCTGCTTGTGAAGCGCCTCAGATGCTCATGAGGAGCGGCTTCAGCTGCTCCAAATGCGCTGCAGGACGTTTTTCTGCGCCTTGATGCGCATCAACCGTTGAGTTTGCATGGATACTAGCTGCTTCTGCTGCTTTAGGTGTGAACGTAGCATTATATCAGGCAGAAGTGGAGGAAAGTTTCTAGCTTCTTTTCTCATCTCTATGGATTCCACCTGTGAACAGAAGAGAATCTGAAAACAAGCTTTTTATTAAACTATTTAAACTAGTTTTATTCATTGTGTCATTTTCTCTTCTAAGANGCAAATACAGATTTTAGTTGGAGGTTAATCTGCTAAATATATACGGAAGAAACGTTCAATAACCAAACAGGAGCAGCTACAAAGAGATCCAGATCTATTGCACTGCCTCTATAGACCTAGGACAGGTAGATTAGTCCACCCATCACTCCCAGTTCAGCTCCCAGTGCTTGTTCTGCAACTGGATGAAACCAGCTGGAAACCATGGAGTCTTCATCGGCAGGAGATGAAGAGCAGGAAAGGTCCGAGTCACCAGTCGGCTCTGCCTCTGCTGCTTCTGATGTTCTCTGGATCTGCTGCTGTATTCAAAGATACAATTATGGAGTCAATTTTATACCAATATTGTTTTTGTAAAAGGAAATAAGAAAAAAAAGGGCAATTCAGAAACATTTAATAATCGAAAAGGTTTTGGGAGAAAATTTGCTGCTTTTTCCAGATCTTATTTTGATATTTATTTATTGTTCATATTTATTTTATTTTTTATTATTTTACAGATTCAAATTTTTTGGGGTTTCTTTTTTTTAACTGTTTTAAATTAAAGTATTAGGGAGGATTTAAAATGTGTTGTTCTCATAGCTCAAACAAGCTAACTGCGTTCATCTTTGCTGTCAGGTAGCAGCAGCCTACGGCGACAGCGGGCCGCTGTGACAGCAAATCCCATAATGCTTTGCGGGGAGAGCTCTCTGTGCAAAGCATTCTGGGATATATCTGCATCTTCTGAGGTCTTTCCTTTCTTATGCACTTCATAGACACTTTTTCTTTTATGACCGTCGGCCATTTTTAAAGAACTGCGGTGAGAAAGGTGAGCTTCAATGAATGAACCTTTAGCTCACTGCAGATATGCGCCTGAAAGTGCGCAGAAAAAGGTCGCTAACAGTAAAGGCATGCAGGACGGCCTTATGTAAACGTATCACCAGAATGATTGACAGTTAGGACGACCACTGATTGAGATGATCCACCCGGAAATCAAATATCGTCCTGTATAGCTTTAAGGTTTCCAGATCACACTGTGTTCACTAGTGTAGTGCGCCGGGCTTTTCTCTGGAGTCAGCGTTTGGATTATTGGGCTGGAAGTGGAGAGAATGTGATCAATGCAATTTAAAAATGAAAAAAATAATTAAACGCAATTTAAAAACTGAAATAAAAAAAACTGAAAATATAAAATCTGAAAAACTCTGATAAATAAAATAAAGACATTTGTTCTTTAAAAAAAAATTAATAAAACAAAATCTAACAAAAAACATTTTCTGTCAAATTTCTTTTTGTTAAAATGTTTATTTCAAAGTAATTTCAAGCTTTTATTTATTATTTCATTTCCATTTACAAATCTTGTTCTTTGCAACAATAATGGAACAAAAATGACTCCATAAGATCTTCCAAATTTTTCCACCTTCTCGGTGATTCCTTTTAGCTCCATAGACCCTCTCAGATGATTGAACCCAGCCTTCTGATCTTCTGGTCCTTCTGTTCTTCAGGACCTTCTGGTCTTCAGAGTTTTTCTTCTGAACTTTTCTCCTCCTGGTTAATCTGAGAGTTTATTTGCTTCACATTTTTATTTTGTTTTTTAATAAAATCTTTAGGAGGTTCTGGGTGAGATCTTTGGTGGATCTCCATGATCCTCCTAAAGGGTTCTGCCGGGTCGAACCGGGCCGATAATACTGGACTTAAGCAGAACAAACTGGACCGGATCCGGACCGGTTCCGGTAGCTCGCCTAAATGGACCCTCGCTCTTTAAACAGCCAAGTGTCAATGCGCGCCCCCGTCATCGTGAGATGGGTTTCCACATGCACGCGCAGCTGACTGGTCCCGGAGCGCAGCGGCGGCAGCAGCAGCGATGCGGGCTGCAGCAGCGGAGGCGTCCGGCCCGCAGAGCGGTTCGGTTCGGGTCGCGGCTCCGGAGCATCCCGGCAGGAAGCCGCAGGACGCGGAGGAGGAGGATGCTGGGAGCTCCAGTTCGGACGGCCTGAGGTGGAGCGAAGGTTCGGCTGCAGAGCGCCCTCTGCGGAGGTTCACCTGGAGCCAGCAGCCCGGCAGAACCTCCGGGGCCTTCAGCGTGAGTAACGATGCTGGACCGGTTCCGAGCAGATGGACCGAACCGCTGCTGCGCCTCACTGCGGCTCAGGTGTGGCTGCTGCAGAGGAGCCTCTGCCGCTGGTTCTGACCCACTTCCTCTCATCAGCTCCGGTTCTGCTGTCTGACCCAAAAGGCTCTGAGCTGCTTCTCTGGTTCAGGTCCAGTTGGTTCTGGTCGTGTTTCTGAGTCTGCAGAACTTTTTATATACCTGTAAATGATGACTGGATCCAAACCCGGTTAGCTGAGGTAGAACTTCAGAACCTTTTTCTCTTCATTCAGAGTTCCAGAACCGGAACCAGACATCAGAGGAAATATCCAAATCATCCACTGAGATGAAAGAATGATCCAGAACCAGAACCAGAACATGTCAGGAGTCTCAGGTTCTGTGAGGAAGCTGGGTCGTTTGGACCGGACTGAGTTCTATGAAATTCTCCCCCCCCCTCTGGTTAGAAGCAGGATCCCAGCTGATGGTTCTGATCCAGTAGAACTCCAGGCCACCTTCATAGGAGCAAACCAAGTCCAAACGGCCTCCTGCTGGTTCCTCAGTGTTGGTTCCAAACGGGCCGAACCATTTGGACGGGTCGGTGACCCCATGCTGCACTGACTGAACATCTTCACTTTCACCAGAGAACCAGCTCAGAACCGACCCGGATCAAATGCTGCAGCAGAGCCAAAGAATCCAGAACCAGAGTGCGGTCTGTGCCGGTCCGACCTGAGGCTGCATCCCTGCAGAGAGCATCCTGTCTGCTGGTTGATGACTCAGCAGAAGAGAAGCTGCATCAGCAGCAGAACCGGAGCGGCTCGGTCCCCCAGGATCTGGACCGCAGCTCGGTTCTGTTCTTAGATGCTGCTTAATAATCAGTGTGAACAGAAAGAATCCGTTTCTGCTGCGTTTCCTGATCCTCTGACCTTCAGACCGTCTGAAGGTTCCTGTTCTGTTAGAACCGGGATTTACTTCAACAGACCCAGAAAAACACAGAAGGTTCAGTAAATTAATAAAAGGGACAAAAATGTTGAGAAATAGAATTTAAAACATCAATTAAAATGATTAAAAGCTACTTTATTAAAAAAGCTTTTTGTTCCTTTTAACCTGTTTCCTTTAAAGACAGGTCTTTGGTCCAACTTTAGTCTGACTGTAGAACCTCTTTGCTTTGTCTTTATTATGTCATCAGTTGTTAGTCTGTCTTAAATCTGTAATACATCTTTAGTAAGTCTTTAGTCTGTCTTTAATCAGTCTTTAGTCTGTCTTTAATCAGTCTTTAG